TCCTGTTGTATATAACTCAGGGGTTCTAAATATACCAGATCGTATCAGCAAATGATGATCCTGTTTTATATAACACATGAGTCCAAAAGATACCAGATTATACCTACAGTATTTAATCATCATTAATGCCCAGGTCCTTTAGGCGCTTGAGGGCGGTGAAATATTTAGTGATTGACAGGTTATATTCCTCGTTCCTCTCTATAAACGCCAACGGCTTACTAGTCTTTATCACATCCTCCTGGAAGACAATGGTCTCTGTAAAATAAAAGCAACTGAAACCATTGAGATAACCCTCGTTATGGTATAAAGTACGGCTAAGGCCTACTGCAGTCAACAACCAAAATGGATATGATAACACTACCCGACCCTGTGACAACCTAAAATCATAGTACTCCTTTAGAAAAATATAGGGAACACTCTCCAACATATCCTGTCTCTGGCACACATGCACGCATACACAACACACATGGAGGCACGTCCTTAAATGACCTTAGCTGTTAATAGGACGTTAAATCCTATACAACCAACCCAAACCGGATTATTTGCTTCATAGATCTCTCGTAAATAGATCTATTAGATGTACACTGAAGACGTTATCTCATCTAAAATTCAAGTAAGGGGGTGGGGTGGTGGGGGTTGTGTTCCTGAAGCCCAAAAAAAAACTCTGGATCGGATCCGCCATTGTATGTAGACAATATGTTCACTTTCTGTAAAATTGACATGATGTACAAAACAATATTACAAAAGAAAACATCATAAACATTGCAGTGACACGACTTTATACTATGAAGCAATTAATGTATACATTGAAATAGACACCAAATAACCATTCAATCATAAAACTGCAGTCGTTTAAAATATATCGTGTCGTGAGGAAATAAAACTGATGCATGATAAAGAATGTGGCGACATATAACGTGTATCCCTGTAAAGCTGTGATAAAGAATGTGGCGACACATTACGTGTATCCCTGTAAAGCTGTGATAAAGAATGTGGCGACATATAACGTGTATCCCTGTAAAGCTGTGATAAAGAATGTGGCGACATATTACGTGTATCCCTGTAAAGCTGTGATAAAGAATGTGGCGACATATAACGTGTATCCCTGTAAAGCTGTGATAAAGAATGTGGCGACATATTACGTGTATCCCTGTAAAGCTGTGATAAAGAATGTGGCGACATATAACGTGTATCCCTGTAAAGCTGTGATAAAGAATGTGGCGACATATTACGTGTATCCCTGTAAAGCTGTGATAAAGAATGTGGCGACATATAACGTGTATCCCTGTAAAGCTGTGATAAAGAATGTGGCGACATATTACGTGTATCCCTGTAAAGCTGTGATAAAGAATGTGGCGACATATAACGTGTATCCCTGTAAAGCTGTGATAAAGAATGTGGCGACATATTACGTGTATCCCTGTAAAGCTGTGATAAAGAATGTGGCGACATATTACGTGTATCCCTGTAAAGCTGTGATAAAGAATGTGGCGACATATTACGTGTATCCCTGTAAAGCTGTGATAAAGAATGTGGCGACATATTACGTGTATCCCTGTAAAGCTGTGATAAAGAATGTGGCGACATATTACGTGTATCCCTGTAAAGCTGTGATAAAGAATGTGGCGACATATTACGTGTATCCCTGTAAAGCTGTGATAAAGAATGTGGCGACATATTACGTGTATCCCTGTAAAGCTGTGATAAAGAATGTGGCGACATATTACGTGTATCCCTGTAAAGCTGTGATAAAGAATGTGGCGACATATTACGTGTATCCCTGTAAAGCTGTGATAAAGAATGTGGCGACATATTACGTGTATCCCTGTAAAGCTGTGATAAAGAATGTGGCGACATATTACGTGTATCCCTGTAAAGCTGTGATAAAGAATGTGGCGACATATTACGTGTATTCCTGTAAAGCTGTGATAAAGAACGTGGCGACATATAACGTGTATCCCTGTAAAGCTGTGATAAAGAATGTGGCGATATATTACGTGTATTCCTGGAAAGCTGTGATAAAGAAATGTGGTGACATATAACGCGTATCCCTGTAAAGCTGACCCTATTATTTATTTAAGCGAGTAATGGAGGTTAAATATTCACCAATACTTACGGACGTATTGCTTTGTTCTCACCCATTCTACTCCCAGGTAAATACATTTGGTAAGATTTTCCACATGAAAAGTTGCTCCCCATCGTTCTTTTGCAAGGTCTGGGTTCACAGTCATTTTGTTAGCAGACAACATTTGTTCGGGGTTCTAGACCCCTAGAACATAGGTTAGTGTTAGATACACCTTTGTTTATTTAATCACATTGACCTCACATATAGCACGTGTTTAATGGCAGACACTGTGTGCTGATCTGTATGTAACCACATTAAATCATTTGTTCTTAGTTTTTTAAACGAAAAAACAAATTTTGAATAAATAACATTCAAATGTTAAGTTTGATATAAAAATCAGGTAATAAAGGAATATTTTAGTTTTAATTAGAACAGATAATGAAATATTTCATTCCAATTAATTTCAGATTTTTTTTCAAGAATATAAGTAAACACTTCAGTGCTTGTATGATGCTAAAACTGAAAAATGTCTTGATAGGCCATTTATGGTTTATATGGTCCAACAATAGTAAAACTGATATAGGGAATAGTGTTGTATGCAACACGTGTAAATATCTGTTATTCACATGTGAAATCCAGCTTTTAAGAAACAGTATATATTGTGTTAGCACTCGGAGAACACCCCGTTTAATGTGGGGTGATTTACCGTGAATACGTCCATATTTGATATCATGTTTAATTCTGTTAAAGAATACACCTTTTCTGATTAATAGTAACGTTACAATACAAAATAAGAACCAGTGTTAAGATACAGAATGAAAGTATTAATTTTCTCAGTATAGGAATGTATATCTAAGAGTCCATCATTAACCAAGGCTCTATACTAAACAAGTATTATGCTTGATACTCTACAAAACATTTCTGATGAGTTACCCTTATTAAGATATGGACGGAATAAGTTTTCTCCTACCCTTCACAGGTGTGTCTCCTGTTTTAGCCGGGAAGGATTAATAGAATCTTTCACCCCCTTGGGGGTGAGATTCCCCTATCTCACCCACAAGGGGGTAAATGATTATTTTTCTCTTCCCCTGTTCTCCCATTGTGTATCATATACACAATGTAATGATAACGTTACATACTAAATTCAGGGTTGACGTGATGTTGATGGATTGTTGCCGTGACGTCATTGTATTGTTGAAGTGACGTCATGCCATTGTTATGAATAGGGGAATCCCCCCGTCTCAACCCTAGGGCGAGACTAATAGAATCTATCGCTACTGGTTGTGTAAGATAGAGAAATCTCAACCCGGGGACTAAGATTTTTTGTCCAGGACGAGGCTTGCCGAGTTCTGGACAAAAAACTCTTAGTCCGAGGGTTGAGATTTCTCTATCTTACACAACCAGTAGCGATTGATTATTTTTCTCCCATATCTAACAGTATTTTAATGTGAAATAAAGGTAAACATGGACCCAAAACACATACAGGCAATTTGTTGCTGGATTGTTGACGTGACGTCATTGTATTGTTGAAGTGACGTCATGCCATCGTTATGAATAGGGCGGAGACAGATAAATCTAGCACCGGCAAAACGGGAGATAAATCTGTCAGGTGTGGGAGAAAAGGAAATCTCACACCGGTAAAAGTACGGATACACCTGTCCAGGGTAAGAGAACAGCTTGTCATCCCATAGGGGCAGATAGCCTCGTGCCGATTAGCACGTGTTCCATCGTGACGTCATTAAAATGCGTCATCGGTAACTGTGATGTCATCAAAAGTGAATAGGGTTAGACAACCAAAAAAAAATCACCCCTCGGGTAGGAGATTTCTGTCACACCCTCAAGATAGGGGAAGATTCTATTAATCCATTTGTTTTGTTGAGTGATACTGATGCATATGAAATCACATAAATATATTATGTGTATCATTTGAAAAGACAATTGTCTTACAAATGAAGTTTATGTAAAGTAGGGTCGACAATTAGAAGACGAATCTCAAGTTTTTTCGTTTTTATTCTCTGCAGTAATTATGGAGATATTATACAATGAAGCAGAAACGATTTGTAAATCATTTCAAAGTGATCAAGTGTCTTGTTTGTTCCATAAGTACGTGTGAAGGAATGATATGGTATCCGCTTTACGATCCAGACAGTAAAAGCGCTCAGCTAGACTAAAACGTTCCATTGACCTCGTAGAATATATAGAGCAAATGTGTATTGTTATCAGGTTAGTCCATCTGTTATGTTCAGGTGCATCAAGTAATCAACAACCAGCTGTTCATAGTCCTGTTAAATTCAGGGTCCAACAAATGCCATCTAAGAACTGTAATAATTTTTCCATGATTTTATTTTTTTCATTAATAATTTCCTTCGGTTATTTCTTTGGTTGAAAAAAACACTGCAATGCTCTTCAGTTTTTGGTCCTGGGTTACATTTTTATCTTTGTATTTACATAGGCTACATTTGAATTTACAGAAATAATATTTATTGCAACACAACTACATCTATTGGATATATAAACGACAATAATACATAAATGAAAAATAATTCATATATATGGTAAGCATGAATAAGTATGAAAGTTCATGAAATGAAATGCTCCTTTTGTACAGATTTGCTGACTTTGCCGAAAAGGAGAGGTGTATCATAACATGCATGGTGTGATTTTAATGAAAAATCTGGTGATTTATTTGAAATATATAAAATCGTTTTCAATTTGTTGTGCTACGGACTACTACTAACTTCTTACAGAAAATCATTAAAAAGAACGAAAGAAAAGAAAGAATTCAACACATATTGACATATTTTTATTGCAGTTATAATATCTGGGGGAAATATGATCATTGGAAAGTCGATACCAAACCGTGTGTGTCTTTGGTTTGAGATTATCCACCTTGCTTTCGTAAGGGAGGTAACCCATTTCCAACACACAACATAGCGTGTCTGCGACCTAGACGTTCAAGCATGGCCTCAAAAAGTTCAACGGCAAAAAGTGCCAAAAAACGAAAACATACCTCAGTTGAGACAGATAATCCAGGTATAAGCTTACTGATGTCATGTTTAATGCATTCTTATCATGTTTCAATAACGCACAATGACCGATAATGTACCGATGACTTCTGTGCAAGTTGGCATCTTCGGCCTAGGCTCAGTAACTAGTCTTATTTACAATTTTGGGAGTTTAAATGTTTGTGACACTAAAAAGTATCAATAAGCCAAATGATATCTAGCATGATTACATGGCCTATATTAGTACTGTATTGACAATAGAGTGTTGTCCTGCTTGAAAAGGGGTTTCATTTCTAGTATTATATATAGGCAGAATTTCAAAATTAGGGGCGAGGGTGTCATCGGTTTTCGACTGTGTAAGAGCAAAATGCTTTTTACCAACCATGTGAAATAAATTTTATTCCAACCCTTACCAGTTAAGTCATTTACTATTATTGCCTTAATTCAATAAAAGATCGATTATAATATTTGATAATATACCGCTAGGAAATGTCAACAAACATGGTGACTGCCTAACTTGTGTGCTTGCGTGCTACGTCATCAGTATTCGACGGGCATGCTTTCCACTGTACGGTGGCAAAATAGGACAGTAAAAAAATTAACTCGAATGTGAACTGCTCAACTATATCTGTTTGAGTCGAATACATCTCATTAACTTCATAAATTAACACGGAAAAAGTCATTTTAAACAGTTTAAAACAGTTCAAAGATTTTTTTATGTTAACTTTTTGTTTTCATAGCAAGGGAAAGTTACTGCTCAGGGTACGATCATGTGAAGAAATTGTCACCAAAGTTGACTTTTTACCTTAAATAAGGGAAACTATCATTTGTTTATGTCTCCAAATAAAAGTCTCGGGACTCTCCGCCCACATTTGTCATGTGATTTCGAAGAAGCAGCATGACAGCAAAGCAGACGAGAAGTCACAAACACTTTAAGGGGTGTTAAACTTGGTGTACTTTTGGAATTATGCAAAACAGGGTTTAAACACTACGTTGCAGTAAAAATATAAGTTACTTACAGTACGGATAATCATTTTCCAAAAGAAGAATTGAGAATGCTTGCATGTGTGCCGGCGTCAAAACATAACCTCCGTGATCACCCCTGACATGACCAGCAGGCGTGCGCGACCCAGAAATAAACGACCGTCGAAAACTGAACACGAGAAGATACACGACCCCCCTCCCTCCGTCAGGCCCCAGACTAGCTGCGATAACGTACCTTCTGACGATGAGACATATTTTTTAATATATTGCGTCGTCAGAGCTACGAAGCAGTCCTATGCCGATTCATGGAGCAAATTCAAAAGTGCTAAATATGTAAGATTACATATGATTCACGACTCATTCATGAATACAAGTATAATGTTAACAAAATATTGCATAATTGTTGAAATAACTAATCCTTTCTATTAAAAAGTCCATCTTAAGGAAAAAATTAGAAACTCCAAGACAGATCATGCATGATGTTATCTCAATTATCCGTTTCTATATATGGCCTGCATGGCCAAATATAGATTTACTGTAGTGGAACTAGACTGGATAGGTTGTCGGCGACCAGATAGCTCAATTGGTAGAGCGTCCGTCTACAGTTCGGAGTGTCCTGTGTTCCAACACCGGTCTGGCCGTGCATTTTTTCTCCTGTTACAGCGGTGCCTACGACCAACCCTTGTTTCTAGCATTGGGTGTATGCTTGACAAGGGGATATCTGAACCTGGGTTGTAAATAGTTGTATCTTTGGGGGCAAATACTTTGATAAAGGAGGGAGGAATGTAGCGGAACTGGACTGGGTCGATCGTTGGTGACCAGATGGCGCAATTGGTAGAGCATCTGTCTAGAGTTCAGAGGGTCCCGGGTTTTCGAGTCCTGGTCTGGTCCTGCATGTTTCCTCTCCTGTTACATTACTACTGCTGCTGCCATGTTTACTACAATTTCCATATTAGGTCATGACACCCATATATAGACAACTGACCTATATTGGAAGAGAGACACAGTTTTCCAACATAGTGGTCAATTGAGATTTTGATTGCGCTTGCTACGTTAACTTGATAATTTAACGACATTTTAGACAGAGTTTAACTTCAAGTTATATAGGAGATCATTAAAAATAGTTTTTATAACAAACAAGTATATGGACGCGGACCAATGTGCTGTCAATTATTCCTTAAATCGCCCTGGTGCGATTCACACCGGGCTTGCTAAAGAAAACATTGTCAATTTTAAAACTCCAAAAGCAAACCTGAATGAATCACATGAAACATCGTTGGGACATATATAGACTGACATAATGAGGTTTGATTACAAAAGTTTGACATTATATCAATATTATGAACAGGAGAGATAAATGCACAGCCAAACTGGATTTCAAATCTGAGACCTTCCAAACTCATGACGACCGCTCTAGCCTATTGAGCTACCTGGCTGCTGGCAATCAAGTCTTCAATCCTGAAGACATACAGAACCCTATACCACCTGCTGTGGTTAAATTTAAACCAAACTAGATAGATGTGTACCTATTGAGATACCTGGTCGCCTGTGATCGACTCTGTCCAGTTGCGCTGCATTTATATTGTGGTATAACATAACTACACTTTCACTGACTAACAGGATTTTGAAATGCCACCGACTCTGAGACTTGCTGTTATCATCAATGTTTGACAAGACTTTCAGTGTTATATATAGCTCTGTAATTATTCAATTCCAGTTGATATGGAAGATTGTCAACCCAAAAAGAAGAAGTCAAAAAAGAAAAAGGGAAAGAAAGATGCCGATAAAAGTAAGTATACTGATATAAAGAATTGAAATCAGTCAAATTTTCCCCCTTGTATGATATTTTATTTCAAACATGTAAGAAATGCACTGGACTATAAAAATATAAAAGACAACCACTATAACTTTTACTGTTTATGGTTTCAGCCCTTGGTAGCTCATCTGACGTGGAATCAGCACCTGTACAAAAGTTATTCAACAGCCATGATGACTCGGGTAAAGTCAGGACTAGACAATAAAGGCAGCCCAATAGTCTGAGACTACTAGTCCAGCTGGACTAATAAAATCTATCACAAGTAACTGAGCGAGATCAGGTTTTCTCTTACCCTAGACAGGTGTCTCCACACTTTTACCAATCAATATAAGATATCCTTATTTCACTCGAGGGTTGAGACGGGGGGCCCTATTCATAAAAATGGTATGACGTCACGTCAACAATACAATGATGTCACTTCAGCAATCAATCAACATCACATCAACCCTGAATTTAGCCTGTAACGTTTCCATTACGATATGCATATGATATGCGATGGATGAACAGGGTAAGAGAAAAAGAATCATTCACGCCCATGAGGGTGGGATATAAGGTAACCTGAACCCTCAGGGAAATATTCTTATTAGTTGCCAAACACTCATCAAAGCATTTATTTGACAACTTAATACTCTCCCCATCTCGGGTTGAGATTCCCGTTTCTCCCTCCTAAGGGTGTAAGAGAGTTGAGGGCTAAGATTCTGTAACATGATCCCATCCAAGGTGTAAGCTGAAGTTTGGATGTTACTGAGACTGAGATAACCCGATCTGCTCAGTTCAGGTAAACATATTTCTCGCACCTTTATGTTTGAAAAAACTATTCAATTTTGCTTAAGACTACAAGTATTCCATCTAGGGCCTCAAATAAATATGGCCTCTATACTACCAAAGCTACATTTGAATGTTTCTGTATAAAAATGCAGTCAGTCCTTACAACAAAGAACATATTTCACAGTTTAGATTATATTTTACTCATAATGTACCATGTAATCCAGTGAATATACCCAAGTCACATTTTTATGTGTATTAACCCATGTAATATGACCTATCAGCCCGGTGATTGGGTGTAAGTTTCAACTGTGACGTCAAGCCAAGGACAAGTACATGACGTCGCAGACTTGCGCACTGGAGTCAAGATGGCAGCTTTTTACATTTCAAGGTTACATGAAAATTGTCGTTTTACACGAATAAATGCCACAAATCTTGATTATGTGATAAAAAAAAAACTTACACTCGTTTCCATTTCATATGAAATTGATGAAATTCGTCACAAATTTTTCGTTTTAGCATGCCTCAAATAGAAAAATTCCTAGGCTCGTTTCATAACAAAAAAATACACTTTGCCTTTGTCTGAGAGTGGATAAAATTCACATTTGTATTTGCACATAACACAAATTTTACCAAATTCCCCAATTTTAGTATCAATTACCAAAATAGCAACAAAGAAACATTTGTTACAGAGATCTGGTCAAATGATGAGGTGAAGCAACTTCTGGACAAGGTTCAAGAGATGTACCCAGCAAATTTAAAAGGACATGATGTTTCGTACAGAAGATCCATGACCAAGATTAATTGGGACACCATTATGGTAGAACCTCACTCTCCTGCCCAGTGCAAGGCTAAGTTCACAGACTTGTTACAAAAGGTAAGTTGTCGACCAACTGTGAAATCAGATCATATTTTCGCGAGGTCCATATTTTGTGGTTTAACCAAAAAACACAATTGTGTAGGTATAAACATTTTCGTGGACTACAAGTACCCATTCTTTCGAGGAATAGCTTTATATCAAACCTGAAATTATTCCGTTGACCTATGAATTCGTGAATGAGGAGTACTCAAGAATTCATCGAAATTAAAAAACCCCATCAAGTTAGTTGTTTCACAGTAGTTGTCACGATCTGAAATATTGTCAAACTAACTAACAAGTTGTTGGATCTTTATAGTCTGGTGAATTTTCTGGAATGCTGGACCAACTGCCTGGTCAGTCAAAATCGGAGAATCTGAAGTCTCCGTTTCTTAAATATAGAATAACAGCATCTCTTAGATGGTCTTGGTCAAGCAGATACTTTCCATGCTAAGATATACTGTCAAAGCGTCTTGTTAAGCAATACTGCAGTTTTTGATGTCGTATGTCAGTGCTATGATTTTTGATAAAAAAACATTGTTTCCTTTTTTGTGCTTTTTACAGCTCTAGTTTTCAACATCATTGTATTTAATTTCAGAGTAAAAGGAAAATTGAAAACTTCAATAACTACTGACATGTTATAACAATCCGACAACAATTTTGATGAAGTGGATTAACAAAGAATTCTACATAAAATTTATCTTATTTCATCATGATCTCCATTGTGTTGACTCTAAATCTAAGATTGCCCTCCACAGGGTTCACATGGTCCTTGAAAAGGCATTGAAATTACAGTATGGCCCTGAAAAGCATTGAATTTACAGTATGGCCCTGAAAAGCATTGAATTTCACTTGGGTCTTGAAAAACCTTGAATACTGGTCTGTGGCCTTCAGTTTGGTTTGACATAATGGTTATGAACACCTGTAGGCCCTGAAAGTCTTACCTGATGTGTTACCCGTATGATGCTTTTGTTCGTCTGACAAATGCTGATTATCTGGATTTCTGTACTTTCAGGTGAATTCACTGCGCACCCTTCCAGAGATGATTACAGCTGCCAGAAAGGTCAAGCAGGTAATTACTTTGTAGAGCAGATAAATTGAATAACTGAACTAATAGACATTTAGCCTTCAACTGGATCCAACTTCAGGATACATGCTATTGTACATTGGTCCACAATATCCTTTCCATTATTATTTTTCTTTTCTTTTGGGAACTAGTGTGATGCAAATTTATAATCATTGAAGGTGGATTGCCTACCCACCTACCTCCATAGCCAGGCCATTGTTACCAGAAATGGAAAGAAAAATAAAACTTGTAAAGGAAAAAAATCATACAAAATCACTGTTGGAAGTTTATTTAAATTTATTAGCTCGCCTATTTGAAGAATAGGGGGGCTAATGTAGTCACCCCGGCGTCGGCGTCCGGAACCTTCAGAGGTTAAAGTTTTGGTGCCAGTTTTTCCAAACGGTTTTGGATTATCACACTCAATATACAGTTGTCTATTATGAGTTTAAGTCATTTATTTCGAGTGTAAGCATTGTGCTGGACCATATTTTCAGCTCACCTGGTCCGAAGCTTATGTCATACCGTTGCGTCCGTCGTCCGTCAACGATTTCTTTAAACGACTTCTTCTTCTTAACCACTGATTGGAATTCAACTTAATTTGACTGGAAGCATCCCTAGGTGGTGGGGATTCAAAATTTTACAAATGGTGGGGCTGACCCCCTAGGGGGCTGAGGGGCAGGGTCAAAAGGGGTCAATTTGGCTATATTGCTTTAAGCGACTTCTTCTCTGGAACTAAGAAGTGGTATCAACCATATTCGACTGGAAGCATCCCTAGGTAATGGGGATTCAAAATTGTACAAATGGTGGTGCTGACCCCCCAGGGGGCTGAGGGGCGGGGCAAAAAGGGGGCAATTTGGCTATACTGCTTTCAGCGACTTTTTCTCTGGAACTGTGAGATGGATATCAACCATATTTGACTGGAAGCATCCCTAGGTGGTGGAGATTCAAAATTGTACAAATGATGGAGCTGACCCCCCAGGGGGCTGAGAGGCGGGGCCAAAAGGAGTCAATTTTGCTACATTGCTTTAAGTGACTTCTCTGGAACTAAGAAGTGGATATCAACCATATTTGACTGGAAGCATCCCTAGGGGTCAGGGGTTCAATATTGTACAAATGATGGAGCTGACCCCCCAGGGGGCTGAGAGGCGGGACCAAAAGGAGTCAATTTTGCTACATTGCTTTAAGTGACTTCTCTGGAACTAAGAAGTGGATATCAACAATATTTGATTGGAAGCATCATTAGGTGTCAGGGATTCAAAATTGTACAAGTGATGGAGCTGACCCTCCAGGGGGTTGAGAGGCGGGGCAAAAAGGGGTCAATTTGGCAATATTGCTTTAAGCGACTTCTTCTCTGGAACTAGGAAGTGGATATCAACCATATTTGACTGGAAGCATCCCCAGGTGGTTTGGATTCAAAATTGTACAAATGGTTGGGCTGACCCCCCAGGGGGCTGAGGGGCGGGCCAAAAGGAGTTAATTTGGCTTAATTGCTTTAAGCGACTTCTTCTCTGGAACTAGGAAGTGGATATTAACCATATTTGACTGGAAGCATCCCCATGTGGTGGGGATTCAAAATTGTACAAATGGTTGGGCTGACCTATAGGGGGCTGAGGACGGGCCCAAAAAGGGGGCAATTTGGCTATATTGCTATAAACGACTTCTTCTGTAGAACTATGCCACGGATATTGATCATATTTGGTCGGAAGCATTCATGGGAGGCAGGGATTAAAAATGGACTAATGGCTGGGCTGACTTCCAGGGCTAAAGGGTGGGGCCAAAAAAAGTGTGTTACTTGGAAATGGTTGAGATCCCCACCATATAACCATGGTATACAATTGCTGAGTATAAAGAGAAGAATGCACATTTGCTTCCAGGATAGCCATAGGGTCTGGCCCCACCATTGGAGACATAGTCCCTGGGCCATAACTTTAAAACTGTTGAGATCCCCACCCCCAAAACTATATATACAAATGCTTGGTATATTGGGGACTGCCCCACCCTTGGAGACTTAACCCCTGGGTCATAACTTTGAAACGATTGAGATCCCCACCCCAAAACTATATATACAAAAGCTGGGCAAAAAGAGACAAATGTAGTCATAATATTAGAATTGATCCTGGGGTCTGGCCACAACCCTAGGGACCTAGTTTCTGAGTCGAAGCTTGGAAACAGTTGAGATCCCCACCCCATAACCATACATAAAATTGCTGGGCATGAAAAATCGAATACAGATATGCTACAAGGTTTAGCCTTGGGGTCTGGCATATTCCCTTGATCCCATTCGGAGAATATTTTGCCATGTTTGCTTTGGTATCCAGGTGAGCAATACAGGCCCTCTGGGCCTCTTGTTATATTTTATGCCCCAAAAACAGCTTAATTGGACTTAGTTAAATTTGAGGTTAAAGTTTTTGGGCAAGTTTTTTTGTGAAGTGCTGGACAACGACCATCAATAGGCTCTTGTCTGTTATAAAGTTGAAGTATTTATATGGGGTGTTAGCAATGTTCTGGACAATATTTTCATATTGTATGGCCCAAAAACGGCTTAATTGGACTTAGTTAAATTTGAGGTTAAAGTTTTTGGTCAAGTTTTTTTGTGAAGTGTTGGATCATCACACTCAATACACGGTTGTCTATTAAGAGTTAAGGTAATTTATATCGAGTGTAAGCAATGTGCTGGACCATATTTTCATATTTTATGGCCCAAAAATAGGTTCAAGTTTTTGGGCAAGTTTTTTCCATACAGGGGTTGATCATCACACTCAATACACAGTTGTCTATTAAGAGTTAAGGTAATTTATATCGAGTGTAAGCAATGTGCTGGACCATATTTTCATATTTTATGGCCCAAAAATAGGTTCAAGTTTTTGGGCAAGTTTTTTTGTTAAGTGCTGGACAACGACCATCAATAGGCTCTTGTCTGTTATAAAGCTGAAGTATTTATATGGAGTGTTAGCAATGTTCTGGACAATATTTTCATATTGTATGGCCAAAAAACAGCTTAATTGGACTTAGTTAAATTTGGGGTTAAAGTTTTTGGGCAAGTTTTTTTGTGAAGTGTTGGACGACCACCATCAGCTTTCAAACTATCACAATGTGCTGATCATCATTGAAAGAGGACCTGCAGCCTTTTTTCGTCAGCCAATATGAAGCTGTCATTAAAAAATATTGGAGGAATCTCTTAAAAATAGCTCCAGGTGTATATATGTTTCTATGTGATGCCCTCCACCTCTGTCTACAAGGTTTCATTGGCATATCCCGTTTGAAACGGTTCAGGTGGCACAGAAATATTCCACGATAAACGATAGCAATAGTCAGCCTTTCATTTTCGGTCAAGCACGTCAGAATCCCTCAATCAACATGTCCCAAATATTCCTGAGGTCCGCCTCGGTATGGATTGCTTTCTTTCTATGGCCACGAAGTCGCCGTAAAGGGAGATAACTTCTACTGTTTTACTGTTTACAGGCGGCTTTATATGTTGGTGTGAAACCAAAGCTCCCTCCGAGCGTTTTTATGTTGTACTGCCAAGATTACAGAGAGAGACACAAGGGAACACACATACAAGGAATTGATTTAGGCAAGGGTTACCGCAGTCTTTCTGAGAAAAAGAAGGTAAGAAAAAATGCATTAGATTTTATGTAATTACAACTCAAAAGAATTCAGCACATTTTTGCTTTTAAATTAAGGTATGTTCTAAAAGCTTTAATGCCTTGTGATAAGTTCAATGAGTACAACGATTAATTAATGTTTTCTTTAATTATGTAAATTTGGTATATAAATGCTATAGTATAGGGATATTATGCTAATCCAAGCTTACCTTTTATGCATGTGTACCTAGGGGTATAGGCCTGATTTCAGGCACCCTAGGGGTCGACACTAAAACTAGGCTGGTAGTCCTGGACTAAAATAAGAGTATTTCTTTAAAACTTTGAAAAAACAGCTTAATAATAAATATAACATGATGATTGTCAAATTTTTTCCAAAACTTCACCATATTTTTACGGCAGTAATTATTTCAAGTTCCCTACAGTCGATTACTTTTGATGTTTCGTGCTGTAGATCCGCGATATTTCCTTATCAGGAAATCTTGGACTGGTTACATTGAAGAAGGACTAATAAAGAAACTATTCAACTAGTCCTGTGGACTAACAAGCAAAAAAAGTTTAGTGTCAAACCCTGACCTTGGCTACAAACTTTATACCAGCACCCACAGTATTGAGTATCAACACAGAGCCTATACAATGTCAACACAGACTATAATATTAACACAGAGCCTAAACAATGTCAACACAGACTATAATATTAACACAGAGGCTATACAATGTCAACACAGACTATAATATCAACACAGAGTCTATATAATGTCGACACAGACTATAATATCAACACAGAGCCTATACAATGTCAACACAGACTATAATATCAACACACCTAAAGTATTGAGTATCAACACAGAGCCTATACAATGTCAACACA